GATTAAGTCGCAAACAAATGATTTGATTACTCAAGCAGGAAGTGATCAGCACGTAGTCTCCTTTTTCTATTATTTAACAAACTGATATATAATTTAGTTTCATCTACTAAAGGTTTTATATATTTCAAAGAATCTTCGTCCGCAAAGGGTTAAACGTTTCTGTCAAATTCAATCGTACATGTTCTAAGGCGCACTCTAAGAATTCGAATGATTAAATTACTGTTTAACCAGGCCTCCGGACAATCTAGATCGCAGAACATAGCGAGGGTCTCGTTTAATCGCACGGTAGCACGATTTCGAAAACACGCTGTATAATCGTGTACTGCCTACGTGCTGGTTTCAATAACATAAAATTAATTCGTACACGTCACACGGAACACGAACTTTCTTTTCACCGGTCGGCATAAACAAACCGGTGAGTCAGTGATGTTTAAACATCGGCAAGCTCCGGCTGACTCACACGAGGCTTGCGCCGTTGATTAATGCGCGGTTTGCTGCGCGCAACGCGACCCGATATTTATTACTCGCGTTAATTGAGCCTATTGCGAACGCGAGAGATCCCTAACAGTGTATACCGCGAATCGCGCTTCATGCGATCGCGGTACGACGAATTACGCCTGGCCGCTTGCGTCCCGTTAGACCGGCGATCGCGTCGAACGGTCCCAGCCGTTACGCGTAACGATCCAGAGGAACGGTCACCGCTGATCCACCGAGGGACCCACTCTTAATTGCGATTAATCGCCCGCTGTTGATCGCGATGCACAGCCGGACGAGATTTCCGTGAACATCGTCGCGGCTCCGCTTCGCGTTTCTCACGATCGCCGATTAACCCCTTGACTTACAATATCGTGTCAAACTCGTGACGAAAATTTTCGATTGAATTTGACAAATTTAAGTGTTATTTATTTGTTTTAAATATAAAAATTACTTTTCGAGTTTCAATTGTTAACCTTTTAAATAAACGTAGACATAAAAACAGGATCAGAAGTTTTTCTTTTACGAATTAATTATTAACGATGAAGTAGTTGTATCGATTATAATTATTTTTATTGAATTAAGAAATATTAGAAGGCGTAGAGCTACCTGTGGAGCTTATGGAATAAGTACGTAGCAAATATGAATGTTATATATAGTATCGCTCGTATCATCTGTTACTAAACACAAGCTTGAGCTTGATAATGTTAATTAGGAGATGATATATTAGATAGATAATAGATTAATGTGGTTTAGAGTAAATTTTTAACTGTACTTTCTTAGCTGTGATTAGGAAACTCTTATTAGAAGAGGAGAAAAAGTAACGATAATCCTTCTTCAGTTTCTGAGGCTTTCGGTAGCTACATACATTATAAACGCAACGAAGGATACTTTATCACTGTTCTGATTGGTGTACAACTTGTTTAACTTCTATCGGAGCTACGCTGTAAACGTGCCCCAAATTCGTGGCACGTTCGGAAACAATACCATTTATTCACCTTTCAATGTGTTTCATGAATCTCATCAGGTGCTCGTGTATCCTTTCGCATCCTTGATTTTTAAATTTGATATATTTCACGTACGATATACCTTTGATTCTTATAATCCTCTCTTCTTCATGCATACTTCATTATTTTTCACTGTACCGTAATTAATGTGTAATCTACAATTCGGTCGTAATTGGTTCTTGTACAATATAACCACGGGTTCGAAGAAGAGAATTAGCGTGTTACATTACAAAAAAGAATGCACGAATTAATGGATGCTTCTTCAAAATTATATTCCCATCATTATTGGAGGAAACAAAAATAGAAAGAATAATCTGTTGCCTGTAACGGGTAATCATTACCCGAATAAAGTATTCGGCTAACAAGGTTCCATTCGGCTAATTAACTTCGATAAATATTTATTGGATGCTTCGCATCGAGATATCCAAGAATCCGAAGATCCTCAGGAAATATTCTGCTTGTTCAAAGGTAAAAAGAGAACGATGCTCTTTTTTTCGACAGAAATTACAGTCGAACTTCGATATGTCGAATTTCAAAGGACAGCAAAAGACTTTCGAGCTATAGAGGTTTTTATAGCTGAATCGAAGAGAATAACAAATTTTTCGAGTTACCGAGACTCGAATTATCGAGCTTCAAATTATCAAAGTTTGAATCATCGAAATTCAAGTTATCGAGAGTTCGCGTTACTGAAGTTCGAACTATCGAGGTTTGACTCATCAAAGTTCGAATTATCAGTGTTCGAGCTATCGAACTATCGAGGTTCGATTGCGATACGCGTTACTATAAACAGTGACGAATAATTATCTTGTCACTTTTCATTCTATGAAAACATAACTATTGCACTTATACATGGCCAAAGTAGATTTCCACTCTAACTCGTTGGAGCACGACTATACATTGAAACGTTTTCGTCTGCCGAATCAGTCGTTGGCGCGTAATAACAAAAAGGAAATTCGAAATTTCGTTTCTATCGCGAGAAATTGAGACACCGAGCGCGCGCGAAGGGAGAAAACAAAATGTATGCGCACCGCAAAGTGAAACGCAACTTCGGTTTTCCATTGACCGCGCGCAAAACGTTCGCCGAGCGCCGAGATCTCGCAAAAGATCGTTCATTACCAGCACGTGCCCCAATTACTCGAGACAATCGTGACTGTATTAAGCTCGTCCCGTTAGACGTTAGAGACCGACGCGAGCTGGCTCGACGCCCACTAATGTGCAACCAACAATACGAATTCGCCCCGAGGATCGTGTAATCGACTATCGAGACCTTCTCGAAGCAAAGGGAATCGAAATCGATCGCGACGAGCTGGATTTTGGCTTATTGTCAGCGACGCTATTAAATTTTACTATGAAACGTACGGAAAATTTACTTCTCTTACTAAAAACCTGCAATTTTCGTATTTAACAATTACTCTTATTGTTGCCTGATCTCTTCTATTGTCTCTTAGTGAATATAAAAATTGCGTGTATTTTAGTACAGAAATTCTAGTAAGAAACTTCCTCGTGACAATATTGAAACATAGTTTTATATTCAACAGTGCTTCTTTAAAACAAGAGAAGCTTAAAAAATGAAGACCAACGATAAAAGAGAAAAATAAAACAAATGAATATAAAGAAAATTATAAAAATGTAAAGTAATTATCTAAAATAACTACAGACTTTCTGGTGATGGTCCGGTGATTTCAACGCTTGGTCAAGAAGTACCGTCGGTACAGCAGCGTACTCACGAGAATTCCCATCAAATAAATGAAGTACTTACACACCCAACCGTGCACAAAAATCAAATCAGAGCACACGATCCCACGAGAAACGCAGGAAAAATCGACAAAAACCCGTAAAGTACAACAACGAACCGGCCAACTGGAAGGTGAATATCAATCAGGAATTATTTTCTCCGTTGACCGCTGATCATCGTCTCCCCTCAATTACGTGCAAAACGTTTCGAGGAAATCCCGAGGCCACCGACGAACACAGTCGATGCGTTTTTTACGCTTGTCCCTCCCCTCCGCACTCGGAATCGTTCGTAACGGCTCGAACAACGAAGAAAGCAGGAGAAAAAGGCAAATTCGCGGTTGCGATTGTATGGAATCATCGGGTTCTCGCGATCGCGCGTTCGACGCGGGGAAAGGTAACGAGAGAAATAGAAAAAGAAACCGGCGGAATCGCTTACGATTAGGATCGCGCGTCGATTTCCCTGTAATCTCGGATTCTCTCTGGACCCCGGTGCAACGGGGAACAGGATTTTTCATTTCGCCACGGCAACGGCGCCTGTGCGGCTGTTCCCGCCAAGATGCGCGCGATAGGGAAGGCTGGTTCGAATTACGCGACGGAGACGCGATAATGATGATCGCCGCGTCACGGTCGTCCGGGGACATTTTTCACGCCGCGCGAGAATAGTGGGAACATTCGATCTTTCTTGCGTCAAAGCCGGGGATTGAATAAGTTCCGAAAATAACTGTTGTATATCGGTTCCGACTAAAACAGTTATGAAGAACCGCAATAAGTCGTAACTGTTATTCGGTGTTTCGGTTCTGAGCTATGTCGGTTTAGATTCCGGTTCTTCAGAACCAATAACGGTTCTGTAACTGTTATTCTTCGGTTCTTAAAACAATTATTAACCTGTTAACTGTGGAATCTAGTTTTATAAATCTCTCGTTTTGCGAGGAATACAATGCGTCTAAAGCATATTTTAATGGAAAATCAAAGCGAAACAAAGAGAAATTACATGTTTATCTGAGAAAATAAAGAATTTATTGTTGAAAGAATTATTTAGTCAGATAATGGAGAGGTAATTATTCTGCGATAAGTTTCATTGGTTCGCGATTCTAGCCGCGGTCGTTTGAAATTGAGATTGCAAGGAGAGAACAGAGTACAGATGTCCGATTAATTGAACTCAATTGAAAATTCGATTATGTATTAAGTTAACCAATCAGCAATTATAGAAGAGAAAGCATAACATGTAAACAATCAATCATCATCGGCGTTCCTCGAGAAAATTGATTAAATATAGAGAATAAATCTTGAGCTACTCAACGCTCTATACAAAGAGAAAGTTATCCTTGCAAGAGTATGTATTGTAAATACTCTTTTCAATTAACATTTATATCCCCTATATTAACCTCAAGAAAATCGGGTAATCGAATCAACATTGCATCTCAATCCAAGAAACATTCCTAAAAACACATATCAAATGAATCCTTATATTCCCTAATATTTATATCAACTCCAAATTTAAGATAACCTACCTATCTGTCCCGATGAATTTAATTAGCTAATTACCTAATTACTTAACGTCGATCCCGTAAAACCCTTTGAATCTCACGAAACATCCCCAAGCGTCCGTCAAAGGACTGCGAGGAATCCATTCTCGCAGCGGATAATCGAAATTGTCCCTTTCTACGAAAAAAGAACAAAAACAGTACCGAATGGTGGATGAAAGAGCCGTGTGTGTCCCTTTAACTGAAACCCTGGCTAAGAACGAGAGGCTCACGATCTTTTTCTCCCGGCGTCGCGACGCAGGAGAGCGACGGTGTTTGCGATGGTAGCGACGCCGAGATGATCGGTAACGGGAGACGCGGAGGCGGAACAGAAAGGGATCGCGAAATGGAGGAGGATGAGGACGAAGGAAGGGAGGAAAGGAGCTCGGAAGGTGGAGGTGGTGGAGGTTTCGGTGGTTGGAGGTCCCATTTGCTCGGTGGGCTGACGCAACGTGTCAAATCCTGGTACTGGGGCGCCAGGCCCCTCGTAAGTTTTCTAATCAAACGAACCACAACACACAGATCTAACCACGCACAGATACTTCTTATTATTATCTATTCTTTCTTTATTTCTGTCTTTCTTTCTTTCTTTCTTTCTTTCTTTCTTTCTTTCTTTCTTTCTTTCTTTTCTACGATCTCTCCATCTTCTTTTCGTTTCTTTCTTTTGTCTTTCAAGCTGCCCGCGTCGCTCGGCGATCTCTCGCCGGCCATTACGACGCTTCGGAATCGGACAACTCGAACACGTGGAAATCTACTCGAAGATCTTTGGAAAGATCGATGGAACCGATCGGCGAAAATGTTCGATGATTTACATCCTTTGTGAATCTTTATTTTTATCTAATCGTGACACCGTTTTTGGTTTAATCGTGATCGTGGTGGATAGATGCGATTGCTGTTTAGTTTACGGTATGCAAATATGAACTAGGACGATTATTATGTTTGTTACAATTTTTTTTATTGAATTAAATTATAAATTTTTCGCGATTCTCCGAGTGTTTTACATTCACGACTTTGAACAGTATACGGAAGTACATTCCTTTTACTCGAACTTGTTCAGTTTGCACACGAAACAATCGTCGGAACAGGTTTCTTGTTTTCTGTTTTGAGTTCAAGATGTCAGGTAGCTCGAGCCATGTAATTAAACTTCTTCGAAACAGCGAAGACAACGTACGCCACGGTGTGCATTAAGTCTGAAGGGAAGGTAAAAACGATATGGAAACCTGAGCCTGTGACGAACTTAATGTTCGTCGTTAAATGCTAGAGTCCAGTATCCTTATTAAAACCAACATTATAATGCAAGAAAATCTAAGAACAGAATAGCAATAGAAACGTTTTTGTGAATTCTGTGAAACTGAACAATGAATGCATATCACAATATCTAAAACTAAAACGATAACGATAAAACAATACGATTGGTTCGATGATCTTACGTATATTCGTACAATCTTTTACTGAAATTCAAAATATGATTTGAAGATTAATCAAGTTTTAATGTAATTCATTGAAATCGAAATATCCCCTGAGTTCGACGATTCATAAAATTTCCTAGATCTTCGAGCCATTTCCACGATTCGAAGTGGAGAAGCGTCGAAATACTCGCGAGAGAGATAATTGACTGCCCATCACTGTTTTTGGCTTGAGAATAAATAGGGAGGGCGGAAGACAAAGAGGTTGTTACCAACAAGGGGGCGTTTCTCGCGAGGGAAAGTGTCTTCTCTAACGTAGCTCTTAATCTTCTCGAAGAAATACATTTCTAATACATTCTTCTACCTTTACCGAAGTAATTTATTTCCTTTGATTTCCATTGAGATTACAGAGTTGAGGCAAACTTTGTTTTACGAAGGATAAAGTCGCAACGTTAATTCAGCTTCTTATCAGAATGTTCACGCGAGAAAATAACGTTGAAAAAAGTCAAACGTAAACATTAATCTCGATAATGAGTCGTCTTTAATCATCGTTAGCCTCATTCCTTTAGACCTCTACGATAGACTCAGTACATAGAAAATAGCGAATTTAGATAGCGTAACGACTATAGTGTCCTTCATCGAACGATCCGCTAAATAATTACGATAGAAGCGCAACTAGAATGTAGATTATACAGATAGCCACAATAGATAAGTGTCTCTAATAGAAAGTTTTAGTTTTCCGGCAGAGTCGAGGGACTCGAGAGTTTCGATCATCTTCGAGCTCGCGTCCATCCTGGCAAAAGTGAAACCAAGTCTTCATTTTTTCCAAGATTTTTATTTACTGTAACATTGGTATTAGTGTCTATTGTAATACCCATTGATTTTCAACGTTTTCGAACTTTGTTACGCAACGAGTTGCTCGACAATGCGATGATAGATAAAAGAAAACAAGGAAAACAAAAATTTCCCCTGCCAGAGTGCGTGATGGGTAACCAATCAAGCAAATCTTCGTCCCGATAGGGAGTGAATAATTATTATCAAGCAATTATCGAATCACGAGTCGAATCATCGGATAAGATCATTCCCTTCGGCATGTAATACTCCCAATTAGATTTCTGTATTTCTCTTCCCACTGCCATTCTCTTCTATTTCTCTTCCTTTCTCTGGCTCTGTCTCTTCCTCTCTATCTGTCTGTCTATCAGTCTAT